CGGGGAGGGGGAGACTCCGGAGAGGGGGGGTTTGGGGGCGGCCTGGTCCGAGCTGGCGCTGGCCCCGCTGCGGGAGCCCCGCGCCCCGCACAGCCGGGGTTATCCCGCGATGCCGGCGGTTCCCCGCTCCGTGGGAATGGGGTGTTGCTCAGGGGATGCTGACTCCGCTGCGCCTTCCTTTCTCTAAGTAGTAAGGAGGAAACAGGAAACCGTCCGGCGAGGGAGCGTGCCCGGGAAAACCGCCTGCAGAATCACTTGCAGAGGAGGAACGCTCCTCTCTGCCTTCGTGTGCGAGATGTGTCTCTCTGGGGAGAGGTCTTTGTGCTCTGGGAGTCAGCTCGCCACCGCTGACTCATTTAGAGCAGCTTTGTTTGCTGTCCTTGCCTTAAAATGAAGCCTTGGCAGTCATCGATATTTGTTATTGAATGTTACGGTCACGTCTGTAGGCAAAGCATTACCGTCACTGCGGCATGCCGAGACACAAGAGGGTCGAGGTTGCCTCATACCTGGTAGTCCGTTACAGAAAATGACCCGGTTTTGTTTGTTAGACAGCTAAACTTCAGTTTATAACCAGCAATAACACTCAAAGGAGGGTTTAGGTTGGTTATTTTTGCGAGGAGGAGTTACACCAGCCGTATGTTCGAGGCAGTGAGCGTTAGTCATGATTTCCCACTCGCAGGTGTGAGGACGTTTGGGAATGTTCTTGCGCTGAGGATGCGTGCCGTAACCAGGCGCTGTGGTGTAAGCTTCAGAGCGGTGCTGCCGCAAAGCAAAAATCATCCCGAAAAATGAAATCTGGAAGAGCGAAAGGAAAACAGCTTAGCTCCTGAGCACCAGACTACCGATCACAATGGGCACTTCTGTGTTTTCCTTAAAAAGAGACGGGAATCTTTAGAAAAACAGGATGGTATGTCCAGTCTCATTTGCTCTTACATTTTCTTCCTCAGGCCACTGAAAACTTAATAAAGGGGGAAATGGCACTGAAAACATTCACCTGAAAGTAGTTCTTTCAGAAAAAGAATCAGGCCAGTGTATTTCTGTGGATTTTGAGGCTACAGAGGGAAAATGGCTTTGAAGGATTTAAACAGCGCTCGTACCTTAAAAATATTTGGTCCTTGTTCAGGAAAAGTCCCGTGTAAACTGGAGTGACTTTGGCTTTGCTGATCATTTCATAAGGCCTGCGCAAAGTTTAGCGTGAACCAAAGCTTGTGCCAGATTTATTTCACTATTACTATGTTAGATTAATCATTGCTGCCTTTTATTTAGACTGCAAGTCTACGAAACCTTTTGCACAGAGTAAATATTTTAAAGAAAGATGTATGAGATTCTAGGGCCCCGACAGGTGTAAAATAAAGGTTCAAGTCCTCTTCTACCTCAAATTTTGCACTTCTCGAACCGTTGAATTCAGAGAATTTAGTTAGTGTGTTTTAAGACAAAACATTCCTATTTGTCTTGTCTTGCCTGAAACTTCCACCAGTAGATAAATCTTTCTCCAAAAAATTTGAGCACGGCCTCCTATACCTCTGATAACAGCTCTGCTTTCCCATGACCTACATTCATATATGTTGTACTCAGATAAGAAGGAGGCACAACGCTGACTAATGCTGCTTTTTTGGAAGGAAAATGACAAAAGCTATTTGAGACAGGAATAGAAGTGCCAGCACTGAATGACAGATGAACAGCCGGTAGCAAAGGTGGCAGCTCTAACGTTTCCCTGTGTTTATGGAGGGAGTGTTATCTGGATTTGTTTCTCTAGGCTGGATGCTTATCTTCAGGTTCAGCAATACTCTGGGTCCCAGGACAGGGTGTAGGAGAGCGGATGGGTTTTGTTTAGCACAAGTGAGTGTCGCTCCTGCTCCAGAGCTGTTGTCTGGAGCGTGGGGCATGGCCGTGCCCCTCGCCCACCCCCCTGCTTCCAGTCTGTTCCCGTATTTTGTCTGACAGCACTTGTTCCTTATTAACATAACTATAGCCTCTTTGTGCCCTCCGTCAGAAGAAATCCTGCACCAGAATAAATTTCAGAGGTGACAGATTGGAACGGTTTGACCAGCTGATGGCACACAAATGTCTCCGAGACCGGCAGCACCTGTGGCTTTGCACCTCTTTGGCTTTGGCCCTGGGCAGGAGCAGTGGCTGGCACTGTTGTCTGCTCGCTCCTGGCTCGTCCTCTCTGGTAGTTGGGCTCTGGAGTGGAGATGAAGGGTTATGTGCAGGCTCTGGGAGGGAGAAGGCAGTGGCCGCAGTAACCAGTTACCTGTCTTTATGGGTCCCCAGGAAGCTCAGTTATGCTATATTTTAGAGCTTATAAAAAATGCGATCTTCTGGTTCATGGAAAACAAACCAGTGTGTGATGGTCCTTCCGTAGGCAGTGCCACGTCCACTGAGAGTGGAGTCCAGGCAGGAACCCGCAAAAGCCAGGAACGCAGTCCCAGGGCATGGGCGTAAAAGCCCGTGGGTTTCCTTGAGGCCGTGTCTTGTCAGAGCTCCTTCTAAGGATTTTCCTCTCTTTCGCCGCAGAGTCTGACTACAGCTCGATTTGGTCAGGCGATGGGAGGTGAAGTGGCAGATACATCTCTGCTCACCCACTGCCAGGGGAACATTTGCAGCCACCGGGTTACAGCGTTCTCCGTAGATCTGCCAGACGCAGGACAGCACAGGGCAAAAGAGCCCTGCGGGAAGGTGCCGGCGGGGCCAGCTACCTCCCAAGAAGGGCCAAGGTGACCACACTGGGGTCTGGTGTGCCTCAGCCCCCTGCCCTTCTTGGGGAGGCAGCTGTCCCCCCAGCCGCCCACTTTGCGTTTGAGCCCAGCCAGGTGCTCTGCTGGTCCGCACAGAGCCCCCGGGCCCTGCCCGGGCTGAGACTCGCCCTGCGACCCCGGGGAGCGCGGCGGGGAGCCCGCAGCCCCCAGGGGCTCGGAGCCGGGGAAGACCTTGCCGTGCGGGCAGCGGGGCTCTCCCCGGCCCCGAGCATCTGGGCGCCGGTCGCAGATACACGTCCAGGCTGGAGGGATCGTCCCCGGCTGGGAGGAGCCAGCAGCTCCGCTTCTGTAAACAGTGCGGGCACCGCCAGCGGTTGGAAGATGGATATAAATAGGGAGGCGGAGGGGAGGCAGCCGGAGCGGAGGAGCGGGAGCTGCCTGCGCCTGCCTGCCCCTGCCGCCGGCAGCCGCGGTGCCGGGGATAGGTAAGCGGTCTTTGCAGCCGAAGTTTGAAAACCGCCGGTGCTTCTCGTCGATCCGCCGCTGGGGTTTTCTCCTCGCCGTCTCTCTGTCCGTCCTGCTGTTGTGGTTGCCTCGCCGCGTCCGGGGTTGTACGGAGCCGGGGAGGGGGGTTTGCTGTTTTCGGTCTTGCGAGGTTAAGTGCAGGGAAGGAAAAAAGGAAAAAACCAAACGCCAAAAACACATCCAAAGCAAAGCGTGCCGTTGCGCCGGCTCCGCGCAGAGCCGCGGCGAGGGAGCGGGCGCGGCGCACGTGTTGCGGGCGGGGGCTGCCCCGCGGCAGGTGGCGGCTGCGGGAGCCCCGGG